CGACACAGCATTGACTCTGCTGACAAGAGCAGAGGCCAAAGAGCTGTGAACCTCTTTCATCCAGTTGTGGACAGGAAGAGGGGCTCTGTCCTCCCTCTTCCTCCTTTCCAGTGTGAACAGGAGCTTAGAGAGTCATTTGTCTCCATGTGTGCTTGTGCGGGAGAGAGTGGCTGAGGATTTGAATAAGGCAGGGGCAGGTGGAATGGAGGATTATATAGTGAAGACCAGATAGGAAACTGATACGGGGCTAGACTGAGGGCTAAACTATGTTAAACTAGCGTGGGGGGTCCCTTTCTGCTCTTGGTCTGATCACAATTCAGATCTGACGCCCCCCACTAGCAATTTACATGGGGGGGGAATCTCCATTCACTTCAGTGGGAACTCCCCCCCCCACACACACATTCCAATTCCTGGGGTGGGGACTACTACTAGTACTATTATTGTTGTTTAGAATTTATTACCTGCTGGTCACCCTAAATTCCCTGGGTGGGTTACAACATTGAAACACAATATCGAAGGTTCACAGTTGGGTCCTAATCCACAATCTTCCATAGTTGGGCTCCAGTGTAGATTGGGGGGGGGGGCATATTGGCAATTTGTGCTTGGTGATGGATCCCTGCAGAGCTAAGTGGTTGAAAGTACAGTGGTACCTTAGGTTACAAACGCTTTGGGTTACAAAAGCTTCAGGTTACAGACTCCGCTAACCCAGAAATAGTACCTCGGGTTAAGAACTTTGCTTCAGGATGAGAACAGAAATCACACAGTGACAGAGGGAGGCCCCATTAGCTAAAGTGGTACCTCAGGTTAAGAACAGTTTCAGGTTAAGAATGGTCCTCCAGAACGAATTAAGTTCTTAACCCGAGGTACCACTGTATTGGGTGCACTTTATGTAGTTGGGGTAGGGTCCTAATTGTTCATTAGTGGAAAATATCAGGATTAGACCAGATAATAATAATAATAATAATAATAATAATAATAATAATAATTTATTGATTATTTCTATCCCGCCCATCTGGCTGGGTTTCCCCAGCCACTCTGGGCGGCTTCCTCCTGTTGCTTTCTGGGGCTGTTTCATTGGGCTCCTCTATGGAGCAGTGTGGCCCAGTGTGCTGAGACACACTCTCAGTTTTGCCCACTTCTTACTTAACTGGTCAGGGGAAACAAACCACAGAGCGCCTCCTTAGCATTACCTGTGAAGCGGTGCTTGTGATTCTTTTTCTCATAAACAAGCCACGAGTGGTAAGCCAAAGTTTGGTTACTGCCCTCTAATTAAGAAATTCCTTCAATGTTATAGGTTTGCCTAAATGTGGACCAAAACATCTGGAAGATTTGTTGTTGCTTACTGCTTTGATGATTGTGGTGAAGCTGGAGGATTTTTTTCTAAGAACTGAATTTCGTGACTATTCAGTGGCTCCCCTTTTTTACTTTAACATGTCATGGAGGGCTAGCTCAGTGATAGAACACGTGCTTTCCATCCAGAAGGTCCCCGGTTCAACCCGTACCATCTTCTGTTAAAAAGATCAGGTAGCAGGTGGTGAGAAGGACTTCTGCCCGAGACACCCGGAGAGTTGTCTGCCTGTCAGAGTAGAGCAGAGGTTGTCAGTATGGCATCTTGATGTCACCTCCTGTCATTCAGAAAGCCTCTGGCTCCCACCCCGTTGCTGCCCACATTGAGGTGAGGGTGGCTCATTTTTTCTTCCTTGAAAAGTACATAGAGCTTCTGAGGGAAGGGAAAGATCCAAGGGAGCAATGCTCACGCCACTTGCCTGAATATCCCCATGGGCCCATGGGCCTAAGAAGGCAATGCAGACAGTCTAGATGGAAAACAAATCGTCTAACTTGGTGTAAGGCTGCTTCCTCTGTTCCTAGCTTTGATTTGCAGAGTGTATGCGTTTCCTGGCTTTTAACTCCCAAACCTTCAGAACCAAGTGGGATTAAACTTTAAAGAAAGACCACGTTTATTGTCAGGTGTGAGTTTTATAGTAACATAATTAATTTAAAACAGGGGTAGCTGTCATGGTGCTTGCTAAATGTTCTGCACTGCAGCTCTTATTATCCCCAGCTAGCATGGCCAATGATCAGGGCACAAGCTTCCATGGATTGCTGTCAACTTCATCATATGCATGAAGTACCATATTATCCGGAGTTGTGGGTATCTATCTATCTATCTATCTATCTATCTATCTATCTATCTATCATCTATATCATGTGTGTGTGCATGAATTCATGGCTCCAGCCCCCTGGCATCAACAGCTGAAATTAGACAGGTGCCTCCTCTCTTGGTATTTAGGCAGCTCCCAAAGACATTTTTGTTTATGCAGGCTTTCCCTGAAGTGTTACTTGGCCTTATTATGGAATATTGATTGTACCATTGCAGAAATTGTTTATAGAGTCTGTATTTATTGTACTTTATCTCATTTTATATTACTGTACACTACATCAAGGGATGCGGGTGGCGCTGTGGGTTAAACCACTGAGCCTAGGACTTGTCAATCAGAAGGTCGCCGTTCGAATCCCCGCGATGGGGTGAGCTCCCGTTGTTTGGTCCCTGCTCCTGCCAACCTAGGAATTCCAAAGCACGACAAAGTGCAAGTAGACAAATAGGTACCGCTCTGGCAAGAAGGTAAATGGCGTTTCCGTGCGCTGCTCTGGTTTCACCAGAAGCGGCTTAGTCATGCTGGCCACATGACCCAGAAAAAAGTGTCTGCGGACAAACGCCGGCTCCCTCAGCCTGTAAAGTGAGATGAGCGCCGCAACCCCAGAGTCGTTTGCGACTGGACCCAACAGTCAGGGGTCCCTTTACCTTTACACTACATCAATAGCTTCTGGCTATAAATTTATAAAATAAATATGTGTGTCTCAAGAAAACTGTTCATACATTTGATGTAGGATGTTCATGAAAGCTTCTGCCATAATAAATTTGTTAGCCTTTAATTTATCTACCAAACTTTCTCCTTTACCCACTCACAAGGGATGTGTGCCTCTTTACCCCTTCTCTGTTCTTAGGTTGCATACTATAATAACCTCTGGGCAACTTTATGGGGGCCACAGAACAGTTGTGGCAAAAGTGGGCCGAGCAACTAATGTAAGTCTTATAACAATAACTGAACCTGGATTCTTATCCCAATTTATGGATTATACTGGATTATTCTGAGTCATATTTGAGCTGAAGTTTATGATTGGCATTTTGTTGCAGACAATAACCTTGCTTTGCTCTTTTTCAACTAGTATTAAGAAAGTCTAATGCTTGTTTGCTTTCTGTTGTGCTGGTTCTTGACAAGAGTCTGAGAGCTGAGAGAGAGAACTGCCAAAAATAAATGAAACTGGTTCCACAACTATTGCTCAAACAAGATGAATGCCATGAGCATTCACAGAACTCTGCCAGTTTGCAACCAACATTAAAGTGTGTGTGTGTGTGTGTGTGTGTGTGTGTGTGTGTGTTTTAAAATGAATCCTCCAGCCACAGTCTGTGAACATAAAGGTACAGGTGCCACTGCAAGTCTCACTATATGTCAACTCCACTGTGTCATACTGCAGTTTTATCTCTCTTGGGCAGAGGAGTGAATAGCAATATAGCACAGGAGTGTATGCATGATTTGTCTTATTCATCATAAGCAGAAGTTGGATGGCCATCTTTAATGAATACTTTAGTTGAGATTCCTGCACTGCAGGGGTTGGACTAGAGGACCTTTGGGGGTCTCTTCCAACTCTATGATTCTGTGATAAACATGGTCAGTGCAAGCAGATTCAGTTGCATGCTGGCCTATGACGTGAGAAGTCCAATTGGGAAAGACCCAGAGACTCCATTCATGTTCCATGTTGGTCATGACATTTGGACCACACTGTTTCCTGAGATGAGCAGAGATTGTTTCTGTCATCACTGAACTTTTTATACACAAAGCCTTAAGCACGCAAAAAAATTCCCAGGATTCCCAGAAACACAGTCTGAAAACCACTGCCTTAGAGGAACAGTTGTGTGACTAAGAAGTTTGTTCCAATTAGTTCTTTCTTTTAAGCGCGGGGGCGGGGGAGCGTTCAACATCTGTTGGAGCCAGGGAAGTTCAACTTAAACCTGAATATCCTTCATCGTTCACAATGGTTTGAGGGGTGTGGGTGGGTGTATTTTAAGGAGTTATTTTTATGTCATACCAGAGTTACAGCTCTTTGATTAAAAAGCCACTTATTATGGTGAAAAGGTGATTTATCTGTCTTTTGAAAGCTTTTGTCACTTTTCAGCATGAGATACTCAAGGAGATCAGTTTCCAAACTGGGCAGACAACTCTTAAACCCAAACCTAATGCTACTTTCACTGTTTGACTTACAGTGAGGGATTGTAGGAGTAGTATTTAAGGACATTAACAGATTCATTAGCCGCAGTCAGATTTATGATAACACAACTGCAGAGGAGCAATGGAAACCTGGTGGAGTAAATGTTGGGGGGCTGCCATTGTGGGGAAACTTGCACATCACATTTACACTATCAAGTGATAAATAAAACAGGGCACCTTTATGCAGAATTTAGACATTTTATTTTTCATTCTAAAAAGATTGATAGTTTTTTTAAAAAACGTTCCAGCCCAATATGCCACAATTTGGGGGGAAATAATAATTACTGATTCAAGTGCCTGGACAATAATCACCAGCTGATAATTATGATGCAATAAAAACCTCTGACAAATATGATAAAGGTGAGTGTTGTCTTCCATAATAGGAAAGAATGTTATGGGTCACGCTGCTGCTGTTGTTGGGCCTTTTATTTTGTGTTTGTGTAATTTAACTACAATCCTATTTTTCAAAGGGTTTTTTTTAGGACCCTAAAATATACTGTTCACTGCTTTCATGTTGTACGTTATCTCTGATTCCAAGACCTAAGAGCGCAAAAGTCATGCACGCAGCCTGCTTACCAGCCTCTTGGGGTTCCCCCTTAGTCCTGTGGCATCTCTTCTTCATAGAGCCATAGAACTGTACAGTTGGGAGGGACCACAAGGATCCTCTAGTCCTACCCATTGCAATGCTCGAACCCACATCCCTGAGATTAAGAGTCTCAGGCTCTACCCACTGAGCTATCTGGGAGCTCCCAGAGCTAGGAAGCAATGCCTTGAACAGGGCAAATGGGCTGGTTGCAGTTGTGTGCCTCTGGACTAGTTCTCATGGAGCTGGTAAACCTGTCTCCTCTCACATGCCAGAACAGCTCTTCTCTCCCACCCCACCCCAGGCGTGTTGTCATCCAAGTCTTTTCTCCTAATCAGTCAGTTCCACACCCTTGCCCCTTAGCTGCAAATATGGGCGCATGACAAACACCACGCTCCATTCTCTGTGCACTGCATGGTGGAAATGGTGGGAGTGGCCGATAGCGAGTCAATAAGCCTGGTTTGTTTACTACACCATTTCAGGCTGCAGGTGGGAGCTCACATGACTGGATGCTCATGTGTGTGGAAATTAGCATGCCAGGGAGAAAAGTAGGCTAGAACCTGACCTACTAATTCTCTCTGTATAGGAATTTTATTGTATTTGCATACATCTGCAGCCAAGACTGTGTAATTGGGTGATGGTGGTCTATGGAGGAAAAGCATTAGATGACAGGGATGCTTAGACTGGTAGAATAGGGTGAGGTAGAAGATAGCCATGATAGCTGTGTTCTCCTCCACCGTCAGAGGCTGCTTGCTTCAGAATAGCAGCTGCTGAGCGTTGCACTTGCATCCCAATGGCCATTTCACTGGCCACTGTAAGATCGGGAATGTTGGACTGGATCAGTGTTTTCCAACTGGGGCCAGTATGGCCTCTGCCCCCGGATATTCCAAGAGGGCCACAGGTGAAAATCACGTAAATGGGGGGGGGGGCACAGCACAAGGCTTGGGGGCTACAAAGGAGAAGTGAAGAATTTTTTTTTTTTTTTTAATCTGATTGACTGTCTATCCGCTTGGCCAATCAAAAGTGGGTAAGGGGGTGACCCACGAGGGCCTAATGCTCCTTTGTGCCACATGCGTTTTCTTGGAGCAGTCTTGGTTTGTTTCTGGAGGGAGAGGGCGATTGCTGGGCCTCCCATGTTGACCAGTAGGGCCTGCGATCCAGAATCCCCAGGTCAGGTAAGTGGGGTGGTGGGGTGGCAGTGGGTAGGGCTGGGCGAGCCGGAGCTGCTTGTTGCTGCCGCCAATGCTTGGTCCGGTGGCAGCCTGGGCCTGACTCTGAAGGTGTGGGTTGCAATCCACCTCAGTGCCAAGTGGATCAGGGCCTTCGGATGTTGCCAAGGGGTGCAGGGCCCATAGGCAGCGTAGGCCTGGCTCTGCAAGCCGCGGGGTGAAATCCACTTCAAAGCCTAGCTGAGTGGCGTTGTCTGGTGCCGCTGACTTGCATCTAGTAAATAACAAAGTCTACTCAGAAGAAAGCTGCACTGAGTTCAGTGGTCCTTGCTCAGGGTCAACTCTAGCATATGTGCTGCCTGGGTGCAAAAATCTGCCCAGCGCCCCCAAATTTAGTTTAGTCACCCCCAAATGAACTTTTATTAACCTTTTTTTGGGAGGGGGGAATCCAAAGTTGGGAGGGGAAATCACTCACCCATAAAAATGACGCAGTGGGGGGAAACTGCTTTTGTTCCCTGACTCTTTGGGAATATTTAACACTACGGAGTAACAGAGCGACGGAGGAGGGGGCAGGGACTTTTGCTCCGTTGCTTTTCACTGCCGCTGATGGAGAGGGACCGGCATATAGCAGTATATGCCCTCCAGAATTCGGTGCCTGGGTGTCCTGCACCCATTGCACCCCAGGTAAAGACGGCCCTGGCCTTGCTCCCAGGCGGGCCTTTGTGTGTGGGCCTTTGTGTTTTATCTAGGCAGCCAGGGCTCCTTGGGTGACAATATCTTGTCGCACCAGGTCAGTGAGGAACACTTGCTTTTAAAAATTCTCATATATACACACACACACACACACACAGAACTCCTTGTGCACCTTTTGGACTACTATATTTTTCACTCTATAGGACGCACTTTTCCTCTCCTAAACAGTAAGGGGAAGTGTGTGTGCGTCTTATGGAGCGAATGCAGGTGGGAGGCTCTGCTCAGTGCTCCCTTTAAAGAGCGCGCGGAGTGTGTGTGCAGCTCTTGGGGGCTTTTCCCCGAGGAAGGAGAAGGGCAGCCCCTCTCCCTCCTCGGGGAAAAGCCCCCAAGAGCCGCACACACGCTCCGCACGGCTCTTTAAAGGGAGTGCGGCTCTTGGGGGAACCTTCATCCCGCTGCCCTGAATAGGCTTCGCCTGGCTATCCCAGAAGCCAGAACAGCAAGAGGCTATCCCAGAAGCCAGATCCCTCTTGCTGTTCTGGCTTCTGGGATTCAGAATATTTTTTTTCTTGTTTTCCTCTTCCAAAAAACTAGGTGCGTCTTATGGTCTGGGTGCGTCTTACAAAAATACAATCTATCTGTAGGTTTCCCTTCTGTGTCAGTTAACTGGGGTCAAATCAGTATTGTTTACTTTTTATAATACATGGAAGATGGATCTCCCTTGGGAGTTTCTGGACTTCTGTCATGGATGCTTTAGCTGAGTTTCCTACATCGGAGGGGGCTGCACTAGAGTGATGATCTTTGGGGTCCCTTCCAGCTCCATGATTCTATGTTTTTCTGCTTCAACAATATTTCATTGTGTTCCTATAATTTTATAGAAGTCATGTTTCACCTTTAATGCTATTTTAGATTCAACTTCTAATTTAGCTAACAGGACAGTAAAATAACCCCCCCCCCCCGAGATAATTTGAACCCATGTGCTTTTGGCACAGATGTAGTACACACATTCCATTGTGGAGGAGTAAAAGGTGTTTTTATAAATAAAACATGTTCTGTTTACAGACAGAACATTTAAATAGCTACCTTTCTACTGGTAGGAGGGGGCATGGGCGTAGCCAGGCTTTTTGTTAGGGGGGTCAGGCTTTTGTTGGGGGGCAGAACCTCTGATTTGTATTGATTTTTTACTTATTGGGGGCAGCTGCCCCCTGCCCCCCTTGGTTCCACCCATGGGGGGCACGGTCAGAAGAAGACTGGGAAACACTGGATTAGATGGTCCCGATCCAGCAGGGCTCTTAAATTCCTCTGGAAGGAATGCAGAAAACTGCCTCATGCAGAGACAGATTTTTGGTCCATCCACCTCAGTATTGTTTAATTTAGCTGGCAGTGGTACTATGGAGTGTCAGGCAGGATTTTACCCCCAACCGCCAGATCTACCTGGAAGTGACAGATATTAAATATAGAATCTTCTGGGTGTTTCCCCTTCTGAACCTGAAGATGTTTTCGAGGCCTGAACACGTACATATTGAGAAGTGCTCTCTGGCTTAGGGTCCAGCTTCAGACCTGCTGGATATTCTGCTTCAGTTCTATAGTTCTGGATCATAGAGAAGAGCACCAAGCAAACTCTCGCTTGCATGGTGTGCAAAGCACCATATTTACTCAAGTCTAATGTGCACCCTTCTTTCCAAATTACGCTGTGAAAACTGGGGTGTGCATTAGACTCAAGTAGATATGGGAAGGCCTGGAAAATGATATAGTTTGAATATTCCACACACTATTTTTTTCCAATTTTTCCTTAAAAATTGGCTTTGGGGAAAAAACTGAAAAAGTGTTCCCTCCCCCAATTTTCCCATTCCCCCCCCCCCGGCCTTCCAGCACCCCCACTTTGGAGCTCCCTGCCAACTGACACCAGGCAGGTGTTCTCTTTCTGGCAACTGCTCAAAACATTTTTGTTAGGGCAGCCCATCTGAAGACGTAGAAACTGCATGCGATTTACTTCCTTTTAACCACTGCTGATTTTAATAATCTTTTGAATACTCTTAAATATCTGCTTTTAACTGTGTTTTATCAATCATTTTCATATTCTGTTGTATATTTTTATAAACTATTTAGAAGCTCTCTTACCATCATGCTTTTTATAATATATAATAACAAATTCAATTAAAAAACCCACACTCCTTTTCCTTTTAAACAGAGTTTGAGCCTTAGTGCAACATACTATTCTGTAAGTGGATGTTGGTTACTTCTGGGCCTGGCATGCAAAAAGATTGCCTTATTCTTTGCACTGGCTGTCTTCAAGTAGAGATGGAAAGGCCTGGTGGGAAACCAGAAAAATTGGGGAGGGGGAAACAGGTGTCTGTCCGTTCCCCTCCCCCTGTTTTTCCCCAAAGCCGTTTTTTAGAAGTCCATGAGAAAAATGGCGAAGAGGAAGAAGAAATGGAAAACGATAGCAGTAGTTCAGAAAATGGGATAGAATAAACTGCATGCATATGTTGTGTCTTATTTTTTTAAAAAAGAGTAGACCTTCTATGGAGCTTAAATATTGAGGTGGACCTTAACTTTTTTTGCTGTTGGTGCTAAGGAGCAAATCTGATTACAGTATTTTTTATGTTGATGGTTTCTTGCTTTTTTGTTGCTTTTGAGGGAAAGGGGGTGGTTACCTGTTTTATTGCAAGCATAATACTTTTTATCTACACTGAGTTTCGTGCAATTTGTAAAACTACTCCACACTGAACTTTTTTTCAATTTTTCCAAAATTTCCATTTTCCCTGGGGGAACGGGGGGACGTTTTTCCTCGTGGCTTCAAAATTTCTGGAAATTTTACATCACTAGACTCAAGTATATTTGCTTGATAATTCTCATAACTCCTTCCCTATGTCCATTGCCACTGAGATGGGAATTATTTTCCACTTCCACTTCCCAAAGAACGGTCAGCTTAGACTCTGCAGTGTAGTTGTGTTTGCCATTTTACACTTGTGACTTGCTCCAGTCATTAAACTGAAAACCATTTATTTTTGTCACCAAACACTCTGACCCAGTTCTCACCAAGTTGGTAAACCTCTGTCCAGGCTGTGTCATGTCAGACTGCAGGTGGCTGCTCACATGACTGAAAGCTCCTCACCAGAAGTGAAACAAATTTTTCCTACACATCATAGAATGTCAGGGTGAACCACTGTCACTGACCTGTCATCTAAATTTGTAGAAAGCAAGGTGGTGATTGTTTTTGTTTTGTATGGAGGGGCATGCTGTCATGTAAGCGTTCATATGCAGCTTATGTATATAAAGTGAGAACTTTATGCAGTG